ATATTGTAGTATTTAATCGGACTACTATGATCATTGTGAAATTTTGTACGTGTGTGTACATCTTATTCCTATGGCAAAAACGACTTTACAGATTTAAATGAAATTTTCTATACATATAGGGACGTACCCGAGCGAAGCAACGGTAGTATCAATAGACTTTAAAACTAAATAATAATAGCATTTTATAATACGACGAATTGGGTCAGTCTATCAATTAAAAGTATATATATATATCAATTAAAAGTAACAGTAGTTAATGGCATAAATGTATTGTACGTAGAGTTATGGCAAGCCCTTTTGACTTATCTATATATATAAAAGAAAGTCGTGTTAGTTACTTCGCTTATAACTCAAGAACGGCTGAACCGATTTAGCTGAAAATTGGCAGGGAGGTAGTTTAGAGCCAGGAGAAGGACATAGGATACTTTTTATCCCGTTCGACCGCGTTCCAATTTTTATGATATTTTAATTTTTGGATTTCTCTTAGTCCGGAATAGGTAAGTATTAAAACATATAATTAAAATGTGAGAAAGAAAGATTTTTTCTTTTTATATCTATTTAAAACGTACCTAGCGACGAACCCGAGCGAAGCGAGGGTGAGCCGCTAGTTGATGATATTTTAAATCATCCATTTTATAAAATTACAAATTGTTTATAGAAATTAACTACCAGAAAATTTCCGAAACAAATCGTGCAAATTAAATCTTATTAATTCAAAAAGATATCATGACTTAAATTACATTCAATGTGTATTTGATCAGATATACAAGATTAAAATAACATCAATAATTTAAAACTTACATATACATTTATATACATTTAAAGTTTATTATGAGTGTAGAGTTTAAAATATATTACTGCAAGAAAATGTCCTAATATTGACCATATTCGTAATTCGTAAGTTTTTCACACGCCTTGATTTTTGAAGTGAAACTTCTTAAGAATCGTTGTGATTTGAAACTCGATGAAACAAACGGAAATGAAAGAGAAATATGAAACTAAAAAGAGACAAATACATAAATATATAAGATAAATCCAGCGAGAGAATGAAACAAAATATGTTGCCATGGTAACCGTTGTTATTGTCTGGCAAATATATAATACTAGCAGTACCCGCGACTTCGCTCGCGCTAAAACTACAATAAAAACTAAAATGGTAGGTTTCATACAAACTTTCATCCGCTATTTTACCCCCTTATGGGATGAATTTCGACAAATGCTAAAACACGTATTTAATTAATTGTATTGAAGCGCATTTATACCAAGTTTCAAATAATTCTGATCATATTTTTTTTGGATTGTATTATAACGTGTTTTCTCGTGGGAAAGAGATACTCTCCCGCGGTAAAAAGTAACCTATGTCACTTTCCAGCCCTACAACTATGTCCATATAAAAAATTTGCCAATCCGTTTCGAAGTGAAAGAAAAACAAACAAACAAACAAACAAACACACTTTTACATTTATATACATTTATTATAATTATAATATTAAAAAAGTATGGATATGGATTAAGTTTCACTCTTACCAAGTGTGAATTGCACACACACACGCACTTTTTTTTACATAATTTCCTTCAATTTAAAGTCTAGCATTCAATTCAATTCTCTTATTAATGGATTCAAAACGCTCCAGTTCATCAATATTACTTTGTCAATGTCACGTAGAATGGAAAAGACATGAGAGAGATTGGTCGGTATAATAAGATTATTATACGAAATTAAATTATAATATGTAAAAAAGGCAGTCTCTCTAATTTTACTGTAACTAAAACAATTATTAAAATAGAGTATTATACTTGTATTAAGTATGGATTTTTAATAATAAAACCTTAATTATAGGTACCTACTTTGTATTCATACCTACATATTTCTAAGCCAATATATATATATTTTATCTGTGTCGAAACTGAGGTAAGTTACAAAGCGCTACAAGCTTTTCGACTTAAAGCGTAGTAAATAGTCAGAAAAATCTACATAGCTAATTGTTTTGAACTATACATAAATTTTAATTTACTTACATGTATAATGCTAACTAAATTTAAAGTTTTAGCATTTTTTCCTTTATGTTCGAGCGAGGTGTTAAATCACGAAACGGGTACGATTACGACGGGTACGGGTATGAAACTTAAATGGCTTATCTGTTATTATCTTATTAATACATATTCTGTAGACCTGCATACAACTACTCTACATTAATAAAAAGCAAAGACAAGAGTGCTAACTCGTTCACACTCCACAAGAAAAATATTGTGAATTAAAATAATCAAGAAAGTTCAGGAAGATAAAATCAGTGGACCATAGAAACAATCAAATTGTGAAATTAACTATTGTGGCAAAATAATAAAGGTATGTCTGATAATTAGTACACAAAAATACTTAATAAAAATCAGAATGGCAATATTATCCACTACAAAAAACCGGCCAAGCACGTAACATCCTCCTGTTTGGAAGTCGGTTAAAAATAACAATAATTATATAAGTCCTTAATATTCAAATACAACGTTGGGTTTGTTGAGCTTATCCTATTATATTAATACAGGAATGAACGCAATTTTCTGAATTAAAATAGACTAGTGTACGCCTAGTGCTCTAAATTCGACCATATATAATAATTATTGGTTTTTTTATTGACAATACTAAAGCTCGCTAATAGCTAATAAGCAAAAAAAACCTGTTGACATTGCATAATATTTATTTAGGTACATATGTATGTCTATGTATGTATGTATATCTAAAAATATTCCAATTGTTGGCAAATTTGAAATTATTAATAATTGTAAAAAAGGAATCTTTTTGCAACACTTTTCAAGTGACAATCTATGAGATGACGAGGTCGTGAAGTAACTTGAACACTTTCACATCATTTTTAATATCATGTTAAATCATACTATTTCTACTCCCCTTCTCCGTACTTAGTTCTAGTTTTTGTGACGGTCACGGCCCATTTGCGTCCGGATGCGGTAACTTTAGACACGTCCTATTTCTGTAAAAGTTTTTGCTGGTGCTGTATTCTATGTCCCCCTGTGTACCTATAAAAATTATCTAACAGCTACTGTTTTATCAATCATAGATAAGTATATTTTTATTCATTATACTCTTTATATGAATATAAAGTTTCAATTTAATGTGTTAATTTTATGAATAGATACTAGCATAAAGAAAATCTAAGCATATCTATTTAATAATAATCCGTTAAAATATAACGAAACTTTGCATGTCGACTGTACTCAGAACCGTTTGACACAACCAAATGTGGCCACAACGCCCCAATGTTTTAAACTGCACGCAACATTGCGCACATCCATGATTTATAAGAACATCAAAAAAAAAGAATATGTCGCTGCGGTTTGATCTCTGCGTGTCACGTGCGTAACCAGCTTCATATTGTACCTTCGACCCTTGTTATAAGAACGAAGTTTAAATGCTTATGATTTAAATGAAATGAAAGTTTGTTTAATCTGCGTATACTTTCGATCTAACAAAGTGAATTAGTTAGCTGGATTTTGTGTAGTTGCTCTAGTAATATACCAAAGCTTGGTAAAAGTAAAATAAAGAATATTAAATTGATAAAATTATAGGTATGTTGTAAGCCCTTCTTTTGTTCGTCGTATTGATTGGCAGTAGCTTCCCCTGTCCCCAACGTCTATATTTTTTTGTCATGTCGTTTTTAGTCCAGACATGAGTTCGTTTATCTGACCAAGTCCATGGAAATTAAAAAGCAAAAAATATATCTATTCCCATTGTAATCCTTTCCATACGCTCTGGAATGATGTTTAAATATACAGGCAGAAATGTACAATATGCGTATTTTTCTCGTTGCAATAATTATAATTCTTTATTTATAAACTCTATAAGTACTTATAAATAATCTACTAAACTTACATTTTTCAAAGTCATTTTTAATAGAGAATGTAGAGTCACGCCATTTTTCTTTCTTTGCTTATTTTGTTATTTTGCACGTAACAACTAGTTGGGTTTAATTCACAATGTAATAAAAAATGTACGTACCTAGATAATATACCATATCTTACTTAACCTTACTTTTTGTCAGTTCATGCATCATTATTACGAATATTATTAAAGTAAATTAAAATTTAACAATCCTCGTTGCATCCGTACTAGTTTTAAGAATTTCAAGCAATTTTTTACGTAAAAGAAAAACTAAAATTGCACTTTGAACATTTGTGTTATATATAATTGCACTATAACGTGTGATATTTTCATAATGAGATAATTACAAATTACCATAACGGTATCTACATGTCTACGAGAGTACTTACCTATACATAATTTAAGACGTTTCTGATATTTAGTTCGAGGTTGTATCACTCAATATCAGTTTTCATATACCTACTACCTATTCAGTTTAATCAGATTCCCAACTCAATATTTAAATTTAACACCTCCAGGTAAATTTTTAAGAAATTAATTAAATTTCTAAGAAATCTATTGTTAGCTGTAACGCCGGCGAGTACGCGGTAGTGGAGGGTTTAAACATAGTTTTACGTTTGTTTTATAATTTGGTTTTCATTCAATTATTTCATACCTATTAACCGGATTTGTTTTCTTCACCCATTCATATAAAGCTCAGTTGAACGACCTAAGAAAATAACTAATTATAAAAGTAATTAGAACTACCCAGTACTGAAACTAACTATTGTTACTTACAGTCGAATAAATCGAAATAGAATACTAATAATAATGCTATTTAAGATGAACCTTATTTACCACTGTATGTTAAAACTTTGCGATTTGATTTACTTAAATAGAAATAATTATTCACTTTCCACGTATATATAAATAAATACCCATTATTATATAAGCTTGCTTTTGCAAGCTTCATTCTAAGTACATTCACGGCTGAAGTATTTCCTGCGCAAGTAAATAGGAACTTGACGACATAAATCGAAGAGGAGCTTTTATTCGATTCCGAGAATTATTTATGTAAATAAAGCAAAAGTCTGCGCCAAACTTGAGTACAAAAGTTGTCTTCCCGTTAAGCAACTTTATAAGGCTGTCCTTGTCGTTTGTATACTAACGATGTATACTTCTTCTCTTTCACCCTTGAATGGTGACTACCGGATTGCAGACGTACAAGATCACGGGACCAGTTTTTATGCACCAACCACAACAAAGCCATGCCCTCCATCTGTGAAGATGGTGTCACCATCGAAGAACTAAATACGTTACAGTAAAATCTATTCAAAAGATAAAATGACGCATACCTCCAGAATAATCATACGGAGGTATTGTGGTTTTTATACCTACCTATAAAATAGTAAAGTGAGTCATTGACTGAATAGTGAACCTATAGACTGTTGGACTTGAAAGGAGGTATAGTAATAATCCTCTTAAAGATTTGGTACAGTAAACTATTCTCCTCACCCTTAATTAAACAAAAGAAATATACCTAGGTATAAGTGCGGGAAATAGTCCTATTAGAAGTATGTATTAGAACCATTGGAGTTTTCGAGTTGGAGAGTTCTTACACGTCTTATTGGAATTTATACTCACTGTTGTACAAACGCAAGTGTACTTCATGAACATGATTATTATCTAGATATCGAAACGAAAATAGTTTTTGATGTGACAATATTTGCAGTAGGAAAATATAACTAAATTGATATGTCCGCCCAGTTGCCCCGTTTAGGCATAGTATGCGTAGATCTTCGTGGTACTGATAAAGGCCGGTATTTTCGAATAAGGAATCCAAAGGGACCACCCAAAGGCTCAGCCAACCCGCCTTATTTATTGTTTTAATTAAAACAACATAACTCAAGTTCCTCCATTGGACGCACCTTTGTGACAGCTCGTAATTCTAAAGTTTAGCTTCTGAACGCGATCCTTAAATTAAACGACGCGTGCAACTTACATGGGGGCTTCTTCTTGTTCCAATAGCGCAATAACCGCTAGAGAAAGGAAAAAGTTCTCATCAAATTAAGAAAAATAATAGTTATCTTAATCACGCAAACTTGTGGGACTACAAATCATTTAGTGTTCATTACTCTGAAGACTGGGTTATTTACAGTTACACAGTAGCAACGTAATGGAATAATGAAAATGCAATGCAAACAGTCTTGGTTGCATTCTATACTTCACTTTGCATGTTCACGTTATTTATTACAAAACGTAACTTCCATTTCTAGAACTCACTTTGTAGAACTTATATTCTATTCTCAGTGAATAGAATATAAGTTTTCTTTTATAAGTATAAATTTTTCTTCTGATACTTTTTGTATTGCTTTAATCTAACATGTATATAATACATATTAAGTAGGTACGAGGTGAAATGTGTGAATGCAAAAAAATCAATTCCCATCACAAACTGCGAATATAAAACATTATTTATATAAGAATTTATTATAAAAATATTTGTAAAAGTATAAAATTGAAACATATACGCTATTGCTGGTGTTTATTATTATTTTGATTATTACTAAAATTTAATTTAATGAACAATTTCCTATTATTTTTTGCATCAATAGTAGAGTTTTAGAGGTCTATTTAAAAAAATATGTGATAGGTAATTCCAGTTTTATTAATGGTAATCATTATATTATGGCTATTAAAATCATAATGAATGCATCACATTGAAAGCTTTAATTCATTATTTATATATGTGAGATTTATAATTAAAACAGCGACAAGGTATTAAAACAAAGTGTATTGTAGGTTGGAAATATTTTTATTAACAGATCTTTATAAATTAAGTCACATGAATAATTTATCCAGTACGATGGCTGTTGCGTATCCGTAATGAGACTCCTTTACTATTCTTAAATCATTTTTACAGTTATAATTACTAAATATCTACTGAATAATTAGACAATGAAAAAAATACATAATCTTATTATATTTACATTACACAATAGAGTGAGTGACTTCTTAATTCTGCGTTCTGTTGATGTTATGTTGTAAGTTTAAACGTACATATATAAGACTACGTATTCTTTCTTCTGTATATGATTATACATTTTCTAATATCTATAGCCATACGTAATAATATTGAAGTATTTTAATGCATATTATGTTTATACAAAAAGGAACTACCAGTGCGTGTACTTAGATCAAATATTATGTCAGATTATTTCTAGGTAGAGACTATTATAGATATGTATACAGGAAAGGATGAAATTTTAAGCTTAGTAATGATCGATCTTCAAATTATAACTGCTGGTTTATATTTCTTTTTACAATTCATATATATGTATGTAGGGCTTCGAAATTATGGTACAACTTTAATTGATAGGTACTTGATTAAAAAAATAATCTGTGATATATTGAGTAACAAAATACATATAAATAAGCGACATATTTTGCTCTTTATGTGAAGCCAATTAAACGCGTAATAAAACTTTTATATTTCAATTCTAATGAAGCAGCAGCCAATTACTGAACATTTATCGATTTCTTAAACTTATTTTAGTAGGTATGTTTTAATCTAAGCTATCTTACTATGGAAATTTTCATATTTACCTATTAAACTTAAGCTTACCTTACGTACTACATTAAATATAGGTTTCAATAAATAAATAGTATATATTAATTAAAAATCTTCCATCATTTTAATGAACTCTAGAAATGATAAACATCTCCTTTATAGAAGTGTGTTACGTTACGATAATTCTAATTAATACTCATATAATGTCTGAATATATTAAAAAATTAAACGGTCAAGCCAGGGAGTTGAAAATTTCAGCTTTTGAAATACTTTGAAAAAACAATTATCGAAAATTGTTACTTGTAAGCCAAATAATGATAAATAAATAAGCAATACCAGGAGACGTGATGTCTGATTAACTAATGTCGGAAGCATAACTTGAAAATTTTTTGTATTAAAGATTTATCATTAGTTTTCTTTAGATTGAAATTATGTACTTACATATATGATAGTAGGTAGGTACGATATATTGCCGACTACAATTTTTGTAAAATACAATATTATTTTAAGTTGCTTTATAATAAGCAAAACACCTCAAATCAGAAGGCATTGGTTTATATCACTTTCAATCATTCAATTAATTATAATAAAATACGTTTAACAATTTGAATTTTAAATTTATGCAGATTAAGATGGTACACAATTAGTTCATTTTATACGAGATCATTACATAAAACAGTAAAGCACCCACTTTATTATAATAAAAAAATATTTTACTATATCTGACCGGAAATTAAAGAATTTGATTTTTTCGCACAATGGACGGATATACATATATAGTGATTCAAAATAACGATAATTTATGCCACAATAATAATATAATATACGAATTTTACATTCAAAAGCCATAGTTTTCACCGGTCTAATGTAATCAATCAAGTATTTTTCATCAACATTTAATTGTTGGATATGTACTGATCAGAATTAGTAATAGGTAAAAGTTATTAACATTTTCCGTATCCAATCTCACATACATTATATAACCAGATACTTATAAGCAAACGTATGTTTATAGAGGTTAAATTTGCTTCACTTGAGTCCACATTTTTTTAAAAACATCGCAATATACCAACATATGTACATTTAGACGTGCCAGTATCACTGATTAAGAGTTCCACAAAATTTTTACACCATGCCTTTAGACCGTTGATAGATGCACCTTCTATGGTAATGTTCAGTTGCAAAGCGCTCATAAAGCGCAAAATTGGGGCTATGGACAATCCATAGAGTTGGGGCTGGCAGGACCGCCCATCACACTGTAGGGCGGGCTGTGCGGCGGCAGCGACTGAATCGACCCTATCTGTCCATGGTACATGTCCATCTCCAGAGAGCCGTCCGGAGAACACTTCTCCGCCATCTTGTTCTCCTGCTTCGTCACCATACGTCGCCATTTCGCTCGTGCATTCTGGAACCATACCTGCGAACAAAAACTGAATCTTGATGTCGGCGTTGAAACAAAATATAAAAGCAGTATATATTCGCGAGCGCATAGCAGTTTTATTTTAAATGTAAAAATGTGTAATATATTAATAATTAAATTAGTTAAAATCAACGAGCGCTGCGTCATCGTACAAACGTAGATAACATAATAAATTAGCTTCCGGCCGGTGCAGTCTGTAAGCGCATAATTATTTCTTTTCTTCACCACCTGTTAAAGTTCTTTTTATGCAATACGTGAGAGCATTCAGTGGCTAAGTTGTTTTAGATTGCGTTCCGAAGCGCTGATCCAAACTTTAATTAGTAAGATAATCCCGTAGAACGGGAACGCGTCGCTCCCACCGGCGAGCGTGACGCGGCCGTGAGCCTGCGCAGCGCCATTCTGCATAATACGCTGGATCTCTGCAAATACATTCATTGCATTCCATCACGATGTTCCGGCCGCCGACAATTAAACGCACGCGCCAAAACATTCTAAGAGCACTTAACTTAATACTTCATTAGAATATCATAGTAAAGAAGTCAAATATGTTTATAGCCTGTTGGAAAAAGAGATGCAGATTAATTTGGCTGAGCGATCTTATCGCTGGACCTTTAATTATATGATTATTATATTATTTTACATGTAAATAATGTTAATCTGTAAATGTAAGAAATTACAGGACGCGCGAATATGATGACCAATGGCGCGCGGCCGACTGCTTGCCCCGCCCACCGCGTCATGGCCGCTACGAATGTTGTCTAACGCCAAATTTAGATTGCGCTTCTTTGTCAATCTCTAGAATCTATACTGCAATAGGAAAAAAATAAAAATACGTCGAAAACAATCAGCATTGTATTTTTCGAAACATCGTAGAGCAATACCAGTGTTATATAATATTGGTGAAGGTGAAGATAGCATCCAAAGACATACGGATGAGAAATGGATGAAAAGCGTAGAAGACATGCGCGCGCGCACGATTGATGATGCCACGTCCGCACATGCCCACCGTTGTCAGGATGAGATAAGACTGAGGCATGGTGGTCCCAAAATATTTCCATTATGAATGAAACGACTAGTGAAAGTTTATCCCATTCAATTCAACATCTTTTACATGATAACTTAATCATTATGGTGTAAAAGATGTTAAATGAAATAAGATTTCATGGTAATAACGGTAAAACGACATCATCATATTGATGTTTATGTACGAGTAGGTATGCAAAGCTAAAATATATTTGTTCAACCACGCAACTGAAAAAACTTTCGTATTTAAATAATAAATCATAAAGACATTTCATTCCTTTGCCAATAACTTAATATTAAATAATATAGGTTTATGTTTTACAATTTCTTATCTGAGTAAATATAATCCGCTGAATTATAATTGACACAGTCAACAAGCATCATAAAATAATGAATGCCGCGTGCTTGGGTACCCCTCATTATCTCGACAACATAGCTATCCATTACATGAGTAAACCTAACAATGAGAAAAATCATGAAACGAAAAATATTTTCAATTGTGAAGAAATATTTTAAATTCTCTCAGTAAACAAAAAGATAGATACGAAGTGAGAGCGATAGACGAATCAAAATGAACCGACTCTACTACTACTACTTACTTTGTATTAACAACTATTTTTTGATAGTAATTTATAAAATGCCAACCAATACTGTTTTATTTTTGATAAAATATAATCTTGAATACAAATCCTCACTCATAAATATTTCTACAAATATTGTATCAATAATAATAATCAATATCTGCGACAAATTTATCAATTAATGTAATGGTTAACTTTATGTTGTTCTTAATAAAATAATAAAAGGGAACAAAAATAAAACATTTAATACAAATAAGCTCTTCGCTCGAAACTTCGGCCACCGCTGCACTATTCTCGCCTGGCTTGTTCAAGTTTGCAGAGGCATGCCATCAGACGAGCCATTTGTTATGCCGTCACGTCAGTTCCTATGACATTTGAAAATAACTTTTCTCATAAAACATTACGTCTCAATTTCCTTTAACAAATACAGAGAAAAACAATTGCTCAATGATTTTTAATTTTTCAGCTAGAACTAAGTCTTAGGACTAGACCAATTAATGTAATTACAATTTTTTGTAGTGATGTAAACAATAGCAATTTCATCGTGGCAAGTAGTTTTTTATTTATTTTAAACAAATAAAAGCATTAAGGCAAGTTTTATTTTTATTTTCGCATAAAAATTTCTATTCTCGTGCATATACATACAATATTTGTCCGTTTTTTGTTAGGTAATATCTATTGTATTTAATATATATTTTAAATATTTCCTAAATAATAAATGAAATACATTATAAGATAAAATATATTAATTTTAATTTAATTTTATTATTTATGTATCTTTTTAGTATTCATTTATTTTTATTTTAATGGAGACTCTACAGCAATAAGCATCTGCTTATAGAATTTACAAATTTCATATTTATATAAAGTCTATATCTTTTAAAAACAAACTATACTATCGGTGTTTTATTTATATACTTTTCTTTCTTTTATCGGTTATCTTATAACACAAACGTTGGAAGAAGACGTAATGGTGTAATAGAAGTATTTCTCGAACAAGATGTAAATCTGGGCCGCGCTGTTCATCTATGACATTGACAGAGTGCTCTCCGGTCGTTATGTGTGTCAATATTAATAAACTACATATTATGTTGTTATTTTGAAATTGTCTTTGTATTTATTATTGCTTACAAGGTTTTTTTAATCCTTGACACTTTCAGAGACTATTGACTCCACTCGCCTAACTTGCTTCACACGTTTTATTTTACTTCTCATAAATATCTCACTTGCGTTATATATTTAACTTCATATTTTACCGGCCAACTTTATCAAAGTATTTGAATCGTGACTGAGCTACTTATTTATGCGAGTGTGATTGATACTAGAAATTCTTTACGTTTTCTAAGACGTGATATAAATCAATAAGATAAATAAAATTTCTAAATATACTGTAAACGCTATAATAAGCGTTCTAAAAGCATCTTAAGTTTAAAAAAAAATATGTACGAGATAGAGTAAAGACGCATGCAATATACATACGTTGTCTTTGACATAACTTTCAATATTATATTACTAAGCAAATAATTGACATGCTAGTGATATCAATATAGTGTGAATAAACATCTTAACAAACAAAGTGATCAAAGGACTCGGAGAATTCTACTTATGTATAAATAAAAACTGAAGAGATGTGATTAATAGTCGCGTTTTCCTTATATAAATAATATTTGAATAAATTAGGAAGCAGACGTAGCACGTCCGCTTGGCGCGAGTACGCGCGACCAAATGACAAATGGATGCCTTTTGAAATCGCGGCGGAAATTATCTGCCCAACCGAGCGTCTCAGGGCGATGCGTTCGTACTAATTACTAGAGCGTTTGATTGTGATCTTAAGAGAGATGTCCAAACTAATATGCGTCTTACACTCACCTCACAAGGTACAAATTTCTTTAATTTTATCTCCTTATTATTGTCACTAAACGTACTTAGAAAGTAAAATTATATCTGGCCTAATGTTGAGGTGTGACCAACCGCTTCTAATTACAAGGGTTGAAACGCCTTCTGAACTCCTTGAGTTATTTGTGAACTGTCAAGAATCTTTATAGAGTCTATACTAAAATTGGTAAGTTAAAACGAGACTAAGGAATTAAATCATCATAAATTCAACCGAATAAAATAAAGCAATAAAAAGATAATGTTCATAAATGAGTTTCGTTTGAATATAAATATCTTTTAAAACTTTACATTCAAGATTAAAACTAGTTTATAAAATTAAGATTTTTCATCATTGCAAAAATATTTTTGACGAAAAGTACACAAGTATCGACAATCCGATTACTTAACTATTCGGTAGCAAATGTGAAGGCATTAGGAATGAAAGACACTTTTTCAATCATCTAATTACGCCGTGCTATTTGAACCTGAGTCATTATTCAGTTGGGAAAAAAATACAAACGAAGCGAGTGACAAATCACGCAATTGCGGACGCACGAGAGAATTATGGCTCGGTGTGTTCTAAATGCGCCCGCGCAGTCGTCGTGACGGGCTGCGGGGTGATGCTGACGCCGACCATCGCGGGGATATATCACTTGAACGCCCGCGCGGCCCCGGCCAATTAGACGCTTGCCTGCATGCGTAGGACTAATTCTTTACTCATCCCCCGACAAATTATTCCCCAACAAGTAATAAAAACGAAATCTCTTACTGCATTCATTGTTTAATCTGTCGTAACCATTGGTACAATGTTGTACTCTGTGATCAGTGTTTATTTTGTAGCGAAACCTTGAACTTTCTATATTGGCGCGATACTTAAGTAGATAAAAAGTTTGCGATGCTTGAATTTGTTAAGTGGAAACTTACGCAGTTTGTAAGTGTCTAAAAGTTACTTCGATAATTCGTTATTTTAAATATTTCAAAGCAATAAAGGATCAACATGACAACTTTGATTTTATATCTAGATTGTCTTGTATCTTAGATTTTAGATCTAGATTTTATACTATGTTATCGACTCTAAAACTCTTAAGCCCACAATAAATGAAGGGGGTCTCCAAAGATATATTCCAACTTTCTTACTTTTTAAGGACAAAGATATCTTTACATTTACGATTATAGTTTACTAATACCGACATCACAAAGGCATGTGTGTGAATTTAGAAACTAAATATCTATTTAACATTTACGGCCCATATAGCTTAACCAATTTTCACACCGCTTTAAGATTCAACATAACCATAAAAAATATTTATGTTCTTACATTTCGCACTAAACAACACAGTAAATATACTTACTAAAGATTTCTTTACTAAAATTACACAGTTTTAGTAAGGTGCTTAAATCCGTGAGAATATTTTTATGCCCTTATGATACAATCGACTTGCACCCTCCAACCGCTTATTTCAGATCTTTAAAGTTATATAAAATGTTGTAAATCAACTATGCTTTTAGTACATAGAAATATTTCGAAAATAAATATGGCGATTTCAACAGATCCTATCTGAAATAAAAAAAGGTTTCCAACATTTCTCCACAGGAGCGTTCAGCCAAAACTCGGTATACGCAAAACGAAAAAGCCCTTATCTTTGCAAAATGGCGAACACAAGCCGTTCGCTTTTTGTAAGAAAAAAATCTCGATCAATATTCGGAGGCCGGAGGGAGAGAGGGATTCTCTTTACGTTCGTATAATTGGTTGAGGGAAAATTTATGCGGCGCGCGTTATCTACCTTTCGGGCTAAGTCGGCTTGGCTCGGCATGTCGATAAATGGTAAGGGCACAATGCCTACCGTTCATATACATCAACATGTATAACTTCCAAGACGACTTGACATATACACCTATAACTACAGATGAACGCTGCCATGGAGAATAAAAAGTAAAACAAAAAATTACAGGGTGATTACTCATATTATAAATTAAACTTTTATCGAAACAACGCTGTAGATACTACGCATATAAATATATTAATTCATTCATTGTCAATTACTTACAATCCTAATATAACGTGTACACTAAAAACGTAAACAAAGCTACAATATGTCTTACGCAAGGCTTTCATATTGAAAAACGTCGTAATTACGAAAACAAAGGAGACCTCTTTCAAGATACCGTGCAAGATCCACATTAAAGGGCCGACACCAACAAGAAATTAGACGCAATAGAAAGGTCTAAATTGTTAAGATACGCCGAAGTGTATTCAACTTATTAGTACGAGCGGCCGGTGCCTATAGCAGGCAGATGCAGCTAGGAAGATAGTTTGCTTTCAAAATGCTCGCGCTCAAGCAAGCGGCTTGCGCTAGATGTTGCAATTGACTAGGTACGTAGATACTCGTCGAACGTTATAGTTAACAATAATAACTATAGAAGTCTATATATAAATATTATTAGAATACCACTGAACATAACACGAACGTCAGTTTTTTTTCTCTTTCTTTGTTCCTTTCTATTTCTTCACATAAAACCTGTAGTTACCAAATGAAACACTTACCTGTTTCAATAACTAATGATTTTAACTCCTCCTTAACCAACCTTTACTAATAATAAGGTGTAAAGGCCTTCACTTGTACGGCTTGTTGCTATATACATAAAAAACTATAAAAATATAAACATTATATAAAATAAATTCGCAGAGCAAAACCTGATTTAAAAAGCCAAGCATCAGTAAGAAAGACAACATAAAAATTCGCACAGCACTTAATATTTTAACATCTTATCTTCTGCTACCGTATGAATACTGGAAATAAATATGACTGTTAATTATACGTATAAAACATACATATAATTTTACTTTTCAAATATATGTAATTAAATTTCAGTTTACCTGTAAAACCCTTTTGGGGAGGCCAGTCTTCTGGCTAAGTTGCTTCAGGTCTTTCGCGTCGGGATTGTGATTGATGGCGAAGTAGGACTTCATAGTGCGCAGTTGATGGTGTTTGAAGCTGGTGCGCATGCGCTTCGTGCGCGAGGTTGTTCCCAGCCCGCCGCCGCCTCGGAACCCCATCTCCAAGTACTCAGGATTCAGATCTGGTAGGAGAAGATCACGCTGCTAAATGCTAAACATCACAAGGGTTAGTGACTCCGACAGTAATATTTACTTAGCTTGAATTGCTAATACTGTTGACCGACTTCAAAAAAGAGAACGAACTCATATCAATCACATATCTTTATTTTATTCAACCTAGTCGGTATCTTCGAAAATTTTTAAATAAGTCGTAATTTTTATTTAATAAATAGATATTCTACCCTTGAGTTCGGCGTATCTCAGAGGTAGGAAAAATATAATTTTGAAGTCGGTACCTCTATGGTTAAAACTAATTATTCGTAAATAATCTTTAAGAGACAACTTATTAGAATCATATTAACCGTAATCCACATTAGAAAAGTTGGTAATTTAAAGACAATTTTTACTTATTAAGTAACGTAAAAATATTTTTTACCCAGTATTAATTAAATACAAAACATGAACATTTATTTTTATTACAATATTTTTAAATAAACCAGCGAACACCTCTAAAATAAGACATCATCATGAATATACTTTATGTACAAAATACCAAATTTCGACTTCGCATTGCACGTTCGCAATAATCATTAGCATCTCATAAGTCTTACCGTAAAAAAACAAAATTATTTCCTAAGCATGCTTACTCATGCTATGTTTAGCTTAGCCAATTTAATGAAATAAATAAATGTAAATCTATTTAAATAACTTTCCGAAATATATTTCTTTAAGTGGAAAAAAGTACCACAGTCGTGTATTAATAAGTGAGTCACAGCAAATATGCGTTTGCAACCATGTAAGTAGTGTTGCGCTCGAATATTCGAGTAGTCATTTGATCGTAGCACTCCGCCGTCATTGTTTTCCGTTACAATTTCTCAGTTACAGCGTGACGTATCCATGACGGGAATGGAACGCTGCCGCAACGCGACTGGTTTAATGGTCAATAAAAACTGCTGCCAATAAATGTTTCGAAACCATAATATGTAAGCCGTTGTGGACAAAGAAATGACGAGGAACTAATCTATAAATAACTACCTATATATTTCATAAAAATTATAATAACCAGATATAATACCGATTAGCATCAGCAAAAACAATGTTTATATTGTAACTATAAAAAACCATACACATCTGTAACTAAGCTGAATTAAAAATAAAGAAAAAACTTAAAAAAAGGTTGGAAGCTTGAATGAAAAAGTGGATGCATAATTATATTATGTAATTGAAGAACCCGTGACACACTAGAGGTAAATCTTCGAGATGTGAATGTAAACAATTAGCCACGTAGGTAATTATCCGAGTGTCCGTTAAATATTACTCGCGGGCTAATGGCAGCCGTCGATGCCGCATGCGATTTGCGTAAAATGGAGCGCTTTCGAGTCGCCCGCCGCCTGCGAGTACGACACGCGGGAATGTTTACCTTTCGAATGAACTCGTGGACGTAAGGAAACTTACTATTGTAACTGTTTGAACTAAGGAGCCTAGGTCAAGGCTACGCTGCGAGCTATCTATGATTTAATTCTATTATTACGAGTTATCGTAATTACTTATCTCGACTTTCGCTTCTGGAAGTATAAATTAATAATATATTTCAATAGGTACTATAAAAATGTATTATAACATAATATTGTTTATACATAGTGTTAATTGCTATGAAATATTGAATACATATTTGGATTTTGATACATATTTGGATTTCGACAAAATTATTAATTACTATCGGCTCACCCTCGCTTCTCTCGGGTTTGTCGCTAGGTACGTTTTAAATAGATATAAATAGTTATTAGCCAGCGTTAGCCATATAAATTTTAATTTTTTTTTGTTAATAATATTGACAAATATTGACATTAATATTTATATGATTCTAACGTCACTCAATTGCCATCAATGCCTTCCCGGAACCTATCCACTAACACTTAAACTTTACGTTATGGTATTAAAGTTTAAATTGACTTTTAAGTATTATTACGAATCTTTTGTATGGGAGTACAGAAAAGTGTTGTTTTTAGACTTTTTCAGGTAATTTTTTAAATTTTTCTCTCCGTAAGAACCATCCTCGTACTTCAAGGAATATTCTAAAAAAAGAATTAGCGAAATCGGTACAGCTGCTCTCGAGATTTGCGCTTACCAACACATTCAGCGATTCATTTTTATATTATAGATAGAAGAAGATTATTTACATTTATGCAACTTTCCACATAACGTTTAACTTTATAACTAAACCGAACATTATGTGAAAGGAAAAAGTTTTATGAATAGTGAACTTAAGATCACTAATTGAAGAAATTCATCTTTTAGATTCTTAAAGCTATTTTACATGAACATTTATGCTCTAACTGCATATCAATATTTTGAGTGATTAGGTATAAGTAGTAAACAGGTAGTAAAAATACTCGGTGCTAATACACCCATTACTACCTATAGAACTTTAACCTCAAAAACTCCATTTTGAAACAATGCTATTCATAAGACAGTCATCCTACAAAATAAAGGTGGTCCCACACCGATCGCAGTGAAGATGCACCGCGTTGACGGAACGTTTGTATTTACTTGACATGATTTACGCACCCGCCGTCAGATATAAAACTAGCGACTAAATTATTAAGAAACCTTAAATATATTGAAAACAACTCTCTTTAAATCGACATAGCCGTTTAAAACGGCACAGTAATAGATCCCATTAAACTGGTGGCTACGCAAACGCCTTGGGCGCTCGTGCACCGGGTAAGTGATACGGTCGCTTGGCAAACAGGCAAGGATTTGCATACAAGAGGATTTCCATGTCTCACTCGCCATACCTAGTAGGTCCTCAACTGAAACGCTTTTCAAATTAAAATGGATATTTATAACTGCATTTTAAATTAGCAACTTTGTTATATTCAGCGATGTCAACTTTCGATTAATCGCTAGAAAATGTCACACTCACTAAAAGAAGACATTATTAATAGATGGAGACACAAAATGTACAAAGATAACGCGAGAGACAAAAAACGGGATGAGTTATAAAAAGATCATTGTGATCTCATAAATCGTACGCACCATTCATGTTTTAAGGTCGGCAAAAAATCGAGATTTTCTACATGATATCGTCTGGTCCGGTGGCCACCAACTTTTAAAAAAAATATTTCTTTTTGTTAGAACCAATGATGCTGCAAAAACGGAAACGCTGAATGGTCGTTACATGGAATATGTTAAAAAATGTAAGGTGAAGCTAAGTCGGAGATATCGTTAAAATATTTTTCAAGTTGTCAGCATACCACGTGAGTGTGTGGGAGTACGATATTAATTTAGTCGGCGTTAGTGTTGTACCGCATAGCATGTCAGCAGGGGGCGCTACCGGCGGTCCTAACTCATACGCAACCAGCTGGCGCGAACCATCGAAGCGCCGGTCATATTTTAGCTGTTATGGCTACTAAAAACTGTACACTAATACTACACTGATAGATATCAAAACAGACATCAAAATTAAATATTTATATTTCATTAGTATCGTAACTAAAGGTTTTTATATTCAAACTAATTGTAGGTCTCGCTCACACGCATATCTTCTTGTGCATGTACTTTCATAAGGTTTTATACGACATTTATACGTTAAATTTCTAAGTATTATAAGTAGGAATTTTCTTACAAAATTTTACGATCTTATTATTATCATCTATAGTAACAGTATAAAATTACGAACAATTCAAATATTTAAATCTACCTCTACGTAATAATGAATGTTAATGAGATATTACAATAGTGAAGACAAAAAATGTATAAAGCCTTTACATGTAATAAAGATTAATATTCGCCATTTTTCCTACTTATCATTATAATAAAATTTTAGAGTAAAACAACAAACTGCCAGTATAATATTTATTTCAACTTTGTTTGCGTATTATTTTTTTATATAACAGTTATCGATATATATTTTGAAACAAAATAGATTTTTTAAACAGTATTTTTAAATACATATTAACAATTAACATATCCCTGACAATAAAAAAATAATTTGGAACTTTATCATAAAATCTCAAACTGTAGTAACGTATTAGAAAGTTTAATTAATAAGTCTAATCATATTAGGGGTTTCACCTTGGAATAAGAGATAATAAGCTATAAACTTGTATACGCTTTTATTTTAGTGTTCTTAAAGTTGTCTCAAAAGTCTCATAAAATCTCGTGTCTGCATTGTAAGTTATTCAAGTTCAAAAGTCACAATAATCAGTTTTTCGCGATTATCCCGGTTTCTATAGCTCCAATTAACATCAATTAAAAAAATTGTAGAGCATAAAATTTGCGACAAATTTCGTTTTAAAAAAATTTTCATACGCTCAACCGTTTCTGAGATAGAGGGCAGAGAGCCCGCAGCGCTCAGCCATACTCACTGTAATGCTATGTCAACCGTGAATCTCAGTGAATAATACCTTGTATAAAGTTATGAAATTATTAAAATATCATTAACAATAAATAATTTGTATTATTCATTACTTAATACTTTATATTTATTAGAATTTTGCATATATCTAATATATTCATTTAATAATACATACTTCCCATATCATACATAATACTCATTGGATGAAGTACTTATTGTATATCCTAATTTTATAATTCGTGGTTAAGGGTGAGACCTTTTAACCTTAGAGTAAGAGACCTTTTCTCTTTCTTCTCCTTCATCGTCGTCATCTTCCGGGCATGTGAAAATGTCTATTTCATTGTCATCGTCTTCGTGGTCCTGAATAGTTGTTTCCAGACCTTCCAGAATTTCCGGGTCAAATGCACTCTCTTCCGCAGAGTCGCTTTGTGATGAAACAGTATTGAGACAAGCTTGTTCATTACACTGGCAATAAGCTAAAGTTTATTGTAACCTCGATTTTACCCACAGCGTACACCACATCCATTCTTACAATTACAAAATAGAGTATTTAGTAATTCCTCAGGAGCTGGTGGTACTCGTAATATTGTTGTTATTGAGTCCAGGAGTTTATTTTGCAGCACCCAATCACATTCCTGGGGTCCTAAATCGTGTCCTAACCGT